CCCAGAACAGGGAGCCAAACATGGAGGAGCAGAACCATGTGTCTGTCATTGAAGTAGATGCTGAGCGGGACCCCTCACTCCCAAGAGCCATTGTTCTCGACCTTGGCCCTGTCAACTTCCTGGACACCGTGGGGGTCAAGACACTACGAAGTGTAAGGACAGATCAGTCACATTTACATGCATATATACAAAAAGAGCGAAATGTAACATCTTTTTCAAATGCTTAAAAAAACTGAAGACAACTGCAAACTAGTTTTAAAAAAATCAATCCCTCTGTCCCTTTTGTTATAATTTAGCTCTCAGGTCATGATTTCTATGACTCGAATCATGAGAATAATGAGATCATTCACAGTTTGTCCCTCTCTCTGTGCTTTTTTGTGTGTTTCAGATTCGGAGAGACTACGGAGAAATTGGAGTGGAGGTGTTTCTTGCTGGTTGCCAAAGTAAGTCCAGTTACTTTCAACACTCTCGCTGGAAATAAATGCAATACACTTTATTATGACTTTATAAGGATTTGGTAGATATAATTTTCCTTGTGCAGTTTTCTAAGAACCCATTTGTCTTTTTGCCTTGTAGTGATCTAAAAATACCTTCTGAAAACCATTAAGGTGGAACAGAAATACTCCCAAATAATATTACTTTTTACTCTTACTCTTCTTACGTCTTTTTACTTTTACACATGCAGTCCTGATCTACTCGGCCACATGCAATCTGAGGCGTTCAATGACAGTAGATGTTATAGTGCATAAAGTACCTGACATGTTTTCTTTTTTCAGAAGACTATGTAATTAGCCCTATTCATGGCAAGCTAACACATATTTTTAAAATGACATCTGGTCTAACTAATGTGTTTTAAAGCCTTTACTCTCAGTTTTTATTTTTTGACATAATAGCCTCCTAATTTAGGCCTTACTTGCAGTATGTGGACAAAACACATTTCTCTGGAACCCGGCTGTGTGGAGGTGGGGATCTTATTTCACAGGATCAACGCCTGAACTTAATACAGGCTCGGGACTTAGCAGTTAGACAAAACCAAGAAGGACAAAAGACAAAAACAGAAAGTGTTAAAGTGAACTTTGAACTTAAGAAAACAACTAAAGAAAACCAAGGAAAAAAATTACACAGGACAGGAAGCAAATGGCAAATGGCTGGATGGCTCTAAGGACCAAAACAAATTCTGTTTTTCCTCGCTTTTTCTGGAACGTGTCAGTTTAACTGAGAAAGAAATGACATGGAAGTGTTTGTATGACAGCCTTAATAAGAGCTGTTTGAGTTCTTGGAAGTACCAAGGAAAGGCACTTCGTTTATTACTTCCTCTAGCAGAGGACACATTGCTCCATCCTCTATGAAAGGGAAGAAATGATTTCATTCCATAATTCACAGCAATAACAATCCAGCCATTCATAAAAACAATTAACTAACCTGATTAAGTGTTAGTTAATTGTTCATGTAAATATAGGTTTTCCACCCAATGGTGAATTTATATAAACTCTCCAAATTAAGATAATGAGCTATATTAACTGATCAAATTACATTTAAATTGTATTTAAAAGCTTGCATTTGTAATGTCCATTTCTGTATTTCCAGAATTTGGGATGATCATGAACATAATGAGAAATAGGGTGGCTATAATTTATTAGGCAGAGCGTTGGTGATTCGATCCCTGGCTGCTCCAGTCTTCATCCCAAATATCCTTGGGCAAGATAATCCCAAGTTGCTCTTCAATGCATCTATTGGAGTATGAATGTGTGTGAAAGTTAGATGG